GCATCGCCACGTGATAGAAGGTTGCATTGGAACATATATGTACAACGCAAAATTTCACGTTCAAAAAACATTGGAAACAACATTCTTGATTAGATGTAAAACTATAGATAATGTCCATTTGTTTAGCATGCTGACGGTTTGATACATATGATTTCCATTAAATTTAAGCAGCGTTCCGGGCAACGTTCACTCTTTAGAAGAGTGGTGGACAAACTGGAATGGACAGATGCGGATATTAAGAAACGGATAAGTAAGGCATGAGGTGCTTCGTTCAAGCTTGGACATGTCTGGAACTACAGAGACATTGGTTACTCGACACAATCAGTTTCTCTAACAGCGCCGTTAAGTCAGGCGTAAAATGCGGAACATACACATAGAGCACGAACTCAAAAGACCCAAACATTTATGAAGCTGGGCCTGCGTTGAGTCTTCAAAATTGAATGGTCACAGAAGATTTGTAACGCCGACCTATGCTAGAAAAGGCAACAGCAACTACAGAGGAAGGAATACTACGGACCATGTGGTCGGTGAAGGCACACCTTATGGAAGCCAGCATCCAACGTCACAAGACAAATGCCGAAGGAGAGCTCCCCCCTCCCAAGGATAGAGAAATTGAGGAGGCAGAGAAACACCTGACCTCACCTGACTTCAAACTCGGCGCCGATACCGAGATCACCGGACTCGGATATGGGGCAGCTATAATGACCGGAGCCCAGGACATTCATGCAGGTGCGGTGGAGGACTTTTGATGGCGTGCCCCTGGAGGAATTATGGGCCCAATTAACGCTTCGAGCTTCATTGTAAGTATTCATAGTGCGCTTCCGTCCAGCGAAAGAGTTTTTTTCTTCGCCATATTTTGTCTTCCAACCAAGCGCCTATTTTGCACTCTCTGCTGTCCCTCATGCAGTTCAGCATAAATGGAATAAATGGTGTTCTAAACAGAGGCTGCAATTCACTTGAGCCTTCTCAGTGCTTTCATTACATTCTTTACTCGAATCGAAGAAAATGAACACATACCAGTTTTTGGATAATTATCCGAACATAATCGTATTCTTACCGGTGAATTATATATTGTATTCAATGTTCAGGGAGTAAATTTATACTCGCATTAATTGTGTGCCGATGCTGGTGCCATTTAAATCCGTGTTGATTCCTATGAAATGATGGTAAGCATGAAACTTTTTTTTCATCCGCACCAAATATTATTGCAATTGTGCTGCAGTGAATGAAAAGAGGGCAGCATATATCAGAAGCAGCCATACATACGCCATTGGCGGGGGAGGCGTCTCTGCTGCGTCCAGCACCCAGTAATGCACCTACAGAGAGATTCCCATGAGAGATTTATTAGGAACGATGAGATCTCGAGCAGCTCATTCCGGATAACCAGTCAGCCTCAACTCCTCACACATGATGCTCTGACTGTGCAATTGATTGCAGCTCTGATCATCAGCTTCAGCATCACATTCGTGTTGAGAATCATATTTCTCGATGCTCTGAATTCAAAAGTGTTGGTTCCATTAGAAGAAACATCAAATACCACATTTATGTATTTTAATAATATAATATAGCGATTTCATCGTTTATTAGGCCGAAGACCTGTCGCCGATTCTTAACATTGCAGAACATTAAGGGATCCGAAATTACTAGCTGCCAATAAGGTATTTTCTCGTCATCATATATCAGTCGCTCAAGGAAAAAGGATTATGTGGCTGTATTTCTGCTGATTCTTTTTAAATTAGCTTGATTAAGAGGAAAGACATTCATGTTCTCCCAGGATATGCATATAAAATTATAAATTTACATGTATGTATAGATATAAATTGAAAATTATATATTTACATGTATGTATCGTGTCAGACTGGGCATCAGTGCGCAGTGGCGTGCCACAAGGAAGCGTCCGGGGGCCTATTTTGTTCGTTGCTTTTATAAACGATTTGCCAGAAGTAGTGTCCAGCGTGTGCTCCATGTATGCCGACGACACAAAAGTTTATAATTCAGTGAAGGATGCGTCAAATAAAGCGAAATTGCAAGATGATCTTGACAGTTTAGTTAACTGGGCTGAAACATGGCAGCTACGGTTTAATGCTGACAAGTGTAAAGTACTTCACCTCGGGAAGAACAATGAACAGCAAAATTACAGTATGAGAAGACATGGTTGCAACGAAAGAGTAATGATTGAAAAGTCTAGTGTGGAAAAAGATCTCGGAGTTTATGTCGACAAGGAGCTGAAATTTTCTAAGCGTATTGAAACGCAAGCTAACACATCCAACAAACTTTTTGGACTAATCAGACGCTCATACGAGTTCCCAGATGCAGAAACGATGAAGCAGTTGTTTGTTGCCGTCGTGCGCCCGAGTCTAGAGTTTGGAAACGTTGTGTGGTCACCGAGATTTGAAAAGGACAGAAATTTAATAGAGAATATTCAAAGACGTGCAACAAGGAAATTTCCAGGCTTGAAGGGCAAGTCCTATGAAGAAAGATTGAAGATTATGAAGCTTCCAGCCTCAGTTATCGACGTCTGCGTGGGGACCTCATTGAAGTATACAAGTATACTCATGGTCTATACAAGGTCCCTGAAGGGTTACTAGAATTTGAAACAAGAACCAACACCAAGGGCTACGGCTATAAGCTAAAAAAACTGCGCTGCAACTTCTCCACGCGACAAAATTTCTTCTCGCTTCGAATCATCGACATGTGGAACAGCCTCCCCGATGAAATCGTTGGCGCTCCAAGTATGAACGTGTTCACGAACAGACTAGATAAAGCTATGGAAAAATATATGTTCAGATTTGAAATGCCTAGCTCCTTATCGAACCCGGTGGAAGTCTAGTAGCTACTTCAAACTATCGTCAGTCATGAAAAGATCCGGTCAAATGACACGATTTAAGATCTATGAACAAGGCATGAAAAGGAAAAGAATCGGCGACTGGCCACATCAGGCCGACACTTCAGCGCCGACATCACTATGTTATGTTATGTTATGATAAATGGATGTCTACTTTAATCTACCAATCTCAAAAAATTATCCACATATACATATAAAAAATCAGTCTTTTATTTGTATATATATGTGGATTATTTTTGAGATTGGTAGATTAAAGTGACGTCCATGTAGGGACGGTGAAACATAAAAATTACTGTGTAAAAATAACTGTAAGCAAACAGAAACATGAAAAAATATCTGTAAGTGGTAACTGGTAACAATTTAACAAGTAACAACTAACATGTTGACACTAGTAACAGGCTGAGGTTGACAACATGACACCGAAATCTTTTGTACAGTTTTATTCTGTAATTTATATTATGTATGTATCATGCTGGTATTTAAATAATATTTAATACTATTAAGTAAAATCTAAAGGCTTTATCTATAAATGTAGCGGTAGCGCTGTAGCGGCAAAACCTCGTATCGCTACTTAAAAATGTAGCTGGCGCTACCGCTACCGCTACAATTGCTTAAATGTAGCGCCGCTACCGCTACCGAAAATGTAGCGGCCGCTACATGTAGCGCGCTACTGCCCACCTCTGTATATATACTGCATATTTTTTATGCCATGGGAGGACGTTAGGGCAAAAGTATTCAAGTTTTCAGTATACATAAATTATTATTACAATGTATCCATTTATTATTCAGCAGTGAGCAAGTTTTAGCAGACGGTATATTTACTGCATTCGCACTTTCATGTTCTCATTCACATTCCAAGATTCCGGCGTCAAAGCCTAACAGAATATGCAAGCTGTTGTGTTTGTTCAAATAGACTTTTAATTGAGGATAGTGAGTAGCTATAGCGTATTTAATCGTGTTGGTATTTGCCATAATTTCAATCAATTCCTGGAGTATATTTTAATGTAGTTATTTATACAATCCAGCTCATGGCATCCGGTCGGGATTGTTATAACGTTTATATCACCCATAAATATCTGATGAAATTTCTAAGTAAATGTGTTACTTGCTTCATGATATTCGAGGTGGAATGATACATATCCAGTCCCACTAATGCCAGTTCACGAAATTCATTTTTATCAAATTTTATTGCAGTTTAAAGTGTGTATGAATGATATTCATTCTGACGGTAATAACTTCGCTTTGTGATTCCATTTTTAAATATAAGTTGTTGACGTTTAGCATCATGATCATTTAATACATTTTGTTTATAAAGTATATGTGAGAATACTTGCAATACATCACTGAGTCCTGTGTTTCCAACATTCAGAGAGCCGAATAATAAATGATATATTGTAAAAATATCATTAACGGTAGAAGGTATACAAATTATTCCATATATGATCAATGAAAGTTTTGAACCGGATTTTGAAGTACCTGTCTTTGGACCTGTGGTTTGATCCCTTTATGAAGGACTTACAGTACAATATGTTCCCTTTTGTGTCGCATGATTCAGGAGGTTGATGAGACTTTCTAGTATTTATGTAATCTAACTACGAGCATCTTTCAGAGCGAACCTTATTTGTTTACTTTCTTCAACTATTTTGTTAAGAGGTTTATTAGAAGCTAATACACTTATTTACCATCTACGTATGAATCTTGTGCCATACAGTTTTCTGTTGCGTTTTCTCTCGTCTATCATTAGTTTTATCAAATCTTGTATCGTTATTTGTTAATCAGTTAATTTTATTTTAATTAAATTATCAAATAACAATTTTAGCACCTGTTTGTCTTGAACTTGATTTTTATTAATTTAGTTTTCCTTAATAGTTGATACGCGTTCAACTTGATGTGTGCTAAATTTGATGAGTGTTCAACTCGATATTAGTCCACAGAATATTGCATATTCGTGGTCTGCCATTGAGGTCTGATTCTCTCATTGCGAAACATAGTTCGGCTAATAGGTATTACGTAAAAATTATGGATTTTATTACTGATTATCAATATTATTAGGTATACCATCATTATTTTCTGTTCATCAAATCAATTTAGTAAACGACATTTCCTTTTTTCTTTTAAGATAGACTGCAAGAATTTGACTAAGAGATAAAAAAAAAATGCTCAAGTGATCTTATTATTTATTGCAAGCAATAAAACTTTGCAATGCAAGTAATCCACTCTACTAGTATAATTCTGATAGTAAATACATATGATAACACAACCCAATGCCCATAAATAGTTTTATAATACGAAAAAAGACATCATTAATTTGGAATGAAAGTGTTGAACTTGTGGAGGCACTAGAAATACAATGAAATAATTATATTTAATAATGGGAAGAATGAGCAACATCCGTCTCAGGGGAAGTAGAGCAGCCCCTACTTCTGGCAGAGGGGGAAGTAGAGCAGCCCCTACTTCTGGCAGAGGGGGAAGTAGAGCAGCCCCTACTTCTGGCAGAGGGGGAAGTAGAGCAGCCCCCACTTCTGACAGAGGGGAAAGTTGAGCAGCCCCTACTTCTGGCAGAGGGGGAAGTAGAGCAGCCCCTACTTCTGGCAGAGGGAGAAGTAGAGAAGCCCCTACTTCTGGCAGAGGGGTTAAGTAGAGCAGCCCCTACTTCTAGCAGAGGTAGAGCAGTAGACTTCTAGAGTTAGAGCCCCTACTTCTGGCAGAGGGGGAAGTAGAGTAGGTCGCACGCCCTGTCGTCCATGTAGTAGAACCTGTCCTCTGCCAGCGCCAGGCAGTTCTCCTCATCGCCGCCTTGAGGCTCCAGTGAGAAGCCTGCGCATGAAGCCAACACGTTTAACTCATCGTCTAGTAACTGTCGTTACCGTCAGGTATGAATAGCATTAAAGACGGATGATTCATCGTGGAAAAACAGTCAGAAGTTTGTTTACTGAAGAACACTTTTTGACCAAGCCAAGTAAGAATAATGTTGATGGCGGATAAAGTCTCATATCAAAGGGACTTTGCCAAAAGGAAAACTGGCATTACCTGGCTTTTTGGTAGCTATAGCATTAAAGACAGACTACTTATCGTGGAAAAAGGTCAGCAATTTGTATACGGAATAACTTACCAGGAATTGGTATACTATCTTCGGCCCTACTCGGCTGAACCCATGCTCTTTCTACTTTCCTCATTACTTACACCTTAACTCGTTACTGACAGAGAACCTAAATAAAAACTTACATCCAAGGTGTCTTGGCCGTTTGATAGAATGGATTTGACCAAGCTTACAGTTTCGTTCCGGAATTATATAACATGATATATTATAGCGGTGCCATATAGGGGCATCAGCCTCGATTTGGCCATGTTGGCATATAGCCGGCTATGCTATGACAAAAGTTAGCCAATATGGCAACTCGGTGATCCTTACCACTGGGCCACCCGAGTTCGAATCATTAAATGAATGACAGACGCCGATGACTGATATACAATTAAATATCGTTTTGTAAGGAAGAGAAAAGTGAGCAATACAAAAGTTATAAACAACTAGCGCCATTATACACACAGCAGCGCCCAGCACCGTCATTATACATGCAGCAGCGCCCAGCACCACCATTATACACACAGCAGCGCCCAGCACCGCCATTATACACACAGCAGCGCCCAGCACCACCATTATACATACAGCAGCGCCCAGCACCGCCATTATACACACAACAGCGCCCAGCACCACCATTATACACACAACAGCGCCCAGCACCACCATTATACACACAGCAGCGCCCAGCACCACCATTATACACACAGCAGCGCCCAGCACCACCATTATACATACAGCAGCGCCCAGCACCACAATTATACACACAGCAACGCCCAGCTCCACAATTATACACACAGCAGCGCCCAGCACCACCATTATACATACAGCAGCGCCCAGAACCACTTTATACATACAGCAGCGCCCAGCACTGCCATTATACATGCAGCAGCGCCCAGCACCGCCATTATACATACAACATCGCCCAGCACCACAATTATACACACAGCAACGCCCAGCTCCACAATTATACACACAGCAGCGCCCAGCACCGCCATTATACGCACAGCAGCGCCCAGCACCACCATTATACATACAGCAGCGCCCAGCACCGCCATTATACACACAACAGCGTCCAGCACCACCATTATACACACAACAGCGCCCAGCACCACCATTATACACACAGCAGCGCCCAGCACCACCATTATACACACCAGCGCCCAGCACCACCATTATACACACAGCAGCGACCAGCACCACCATTATACATACAGCAGCGCCCAGCACCGCCGATATACACACAGCAGCGCCAAGCCCTGCCATTATACATACAGCAGCGCCCAGCACCACCATTATACATACAGCCGCGCCCAGCACCACCATTATACACACAGCAGCGCTCAGCACCGCCATTATACACACAGCAGCGCCCAGCACCGCCATTATTCACACAGCAGCGCCCAGCACCACCAATATACACACAGCAGCGCCCAGCACCACCATTATACATACAGCAGCGCCCAGCACCGCCATTATACATACAGCAGCGCCCAGCACCGCCGATATACACACAGCAGCGCCAAGCCCTGCCATTATATATACAGCAGCGCCCAGCACCCACCATTATACACACAGCAGTGCTTAGCACCACCATTATACATACAGCAGCGCCCAGCACCACCATTATACATACAGCAGCGCCCAGCATGAGGTTGTTGGGAGGGGAAAGGTGTGGTGAATACATTTGTCGAAAAGGGAAAGTTGAAGGCATTGATCCAGATTGTTCTAATAAATATTTTCTCATTTCTTCCATGGGTATTGTAATGCGGAGTAGGCAATTTAATAACCCCATTTTTGGCATTACATGGTCTTCGCCGAGCCAAACATAAGACTATGCTGGAATTACACTAAATCGATCAGGTGTCTAGACATTTCGATAATTTTCTGTTTTTTAGAATACAGTGCGAGTCTCTGCAATTTATTGAAATTTTCTAACCCAGCCGCGATAGACTTGCTTCCAGTACGGAAGTCAGGCGCATGCAGCTAGACATTCGCTTGCTGCCCCTATTACAAAAGTAGTAATTTCGATGTCAGAATTACTTAGGCCGTACGCCTAAGTCACTGTTAGGCCGTAGGCCTGACTCCGTTTTTCAACATCACGGAAAATTTACAGTCTGCTGCGGCATCGAGCACGCAACTCACTGCTCCAAGTTTGCTGTGCTTAACTGCCCGGCCACATTGCTGATTCTGACCAGAACTGTAGAACCTACAGCTTGCTGCTCTAATCGTGGTTCTCTGAACTGGAACCACCGGGCCACCCAAAAACAATCTTTTATATGAATTGAAAAAAGATGGTTTGCGCTAGGAAGCTGTGATGTAGGTATGAAGGCTGCTAGATTTTTATGGGCAAGGTGGCTAAGCATCAAGTTCTAAGGATAACAAGGTAGCCAAGACCCCTAAGATTTATGATCATATGTAAGGCAACAATCACTAGTTTATTATTATTATTATTATTATTATTAAGCCTCAAATTTGGCCGCACTGTATTGAATTGATCTTTGATATATGTATTGTTGAACTTTAAAAGATGAAAATATTTAGGAAGTTTAAGAATATTTCAGGATGGATAAAGCTCATTAAAATAGTTTAATGACGCTACTGGTTGCAGGCATGAACACCACCTCCTCCTGAGGGAGACACGCGGTCACTGGTCTCATTTTTATATAATTGGTGAAGAGTCGCGACTTGTGGTGGCAGATACAATGTCCACCTCGGCCCCTGGACAGGCCTGGCCTCACATGCCCCCAGCTGCTGCTGGTAGCTTCAGTCAGCCGGCTGACATGACTGTCGTGATGAGGTCTAATTAAACCGGCCACGCATGTACATTCCTACACACCTGGCAGAGTGTGGTGGTGAGTCATAACCTTAAACCGGCCACGTATGTACAGTCTTACACACCTGGCAGACTGTGATGAGACATAACCTTAAACCGGCCACGTATGTACAGTCCTACACACCTGGCAGAGTGTGATGGCGAGTCATGAACCTTAAACCGGCAACGTATGTACAGTCCTACACACTTGGCAGAGTGTCGTGGTGAGTCATGAACCTTAAACCGGCAACGTATGTACAGTCCTACACACTTGGCAGAGTGTGGTGGTGTGTCATGAACCTTAAACCGGCCACGTATGTACATTCCTACACACCTGGCAGAGTGTGGTGGTGAGTCATGAACCTTAAACCGGCAACGTATGTACAGTCCTACACACTTGGCAGAGTGTCGTGGTGAGTCATAACCTTAAACTGGCGATGTATCTACAGTCCTACACCACTGGCTGAGTGTGGTTGTCATAAGTGCTCACGGTAAGCAATGATGTACTCGTACAGCCCCCGCAGCACATCCGCGTCATCCACGATGGCAGTGTCAGCCCCGAGGGCCTGGCAGTAGGCACTGGCCTCGGTCCAGTTGGTCTTCGTGGTCTGGACGAGACCGTAGCAGCCTGACTGGATCGGCACCCAGCCCTCCTCGCACTGCGCGGCGCTCAGCCCTGGCGAGGCGGTTCAAGTCGAGATTTTAGAGTCAACCTCGCGACACCAGGCGCCGGGAATTCAAAGTTCCCACTTCACAAATTAGCTACCAAAGTCTCTGGATTCCCTTGCACAAAAAATAGTCCTGTTTCAAATACCATTTGGATTGTAAAATTTATTGACATCATTTAGAATACAACTATAATGCGCGAAAGCGAAATTAAATGCGATGCAAATGTGTGCAAATGAAATACTTTTTCGCGTCACGGAGACAGCAGCCCAGCTACGAATCATCTAAAGCTCCTGCCGAAATTAGGAGGGCACAGTTTCCAAATCGCCGTCCATCAATATGAATGCATTTTGTCATGAAACGAATTTATTGAAATTTCAATTGACATTTCAAGAGACAAGATATTTTTTAAGTCGCTCAAACTCTACGACGCTTAGTACATATTACGATTAAGCTCTGACATACATTACATCTTTTTATAAATTTTCTTGAATAAGCTGGTGCTTTTATTTAATACAAATTTCTGCAGCGAGAAATGCAGCGAGTCTCCTGTGAAGCTTTCCAGCGTAGGTTGGAGGCCGTCATTGAAAATAAGGATAGTCATATTAAATCAATAAATATGAGAATTTCTTAGTTAGTTCTTGGTTGTAAGATCATGAGATAAAAAATTGATTTACCAGTTTGTTTCATTGAGAAATAAGAAAATCATGCGTTGCCATGAGTATAGCAGACCCTGTATAACTGGGCCATCAATTTTATTCTAAATTCTAAATAAATTCATGTTAATGTTAATTTCTTGGGACGGCACTCACCCACACAGGCCAGCAGCACGCTCAGGACCAGCAATGCACGCGTCATCTCGGCAGTTCTTATTTCCCTGCTTTAGGAAGGAACCTTGAGCGTTAGTTCTTGAACGTTTTATGGGCTATCTCTGCAGTCGCATATTATAGGTTCTCTCTACAGCCGTATATTATAGGCTCTCTCAGTCATATAGGCTCTCTCTACAGCCATATATGCTCTCTACAACCGTATAGGCTCTCTCAGCAATATAGGATCTCTCTACAGCCATATATGCTCTCTACAGCCACATAGGCTCTCCCAGCAATATAGGCTATCTCAACAGCCGTATATTATAGGCTCTCTCAGCCATATGGGGTCTCTCTACTGCCTTATAGGCTCTCTCAGCCGTATAGGCACTCTCTACAGCCGTATAGGCTCTCCCAGCAATATAGGCTATCTCTACAGCCGTATATTATAGGCTCTCTCAGCCATATAGGCCCTCTCTCCAGCCATATATGCTCTCTACAGCCGTATAGACTCTCTCTACAGTCGTCTTGGCTCTCTCAGCCATATAGACTCTCTCTACAGCCATATAGGCTCTCGCTACAGCCGTATATTATAGGCTCTCTCAGCCATATAGGCTCTCTCTACAGCCTTATAGACTCTCTCTACAGTCTTATTGGCCCTCTCAGTCATATAGACTCTCTCTACAGCTATATAGGCTCTTTCTACAGCCGTATAGGCTCTCTCAGCCATATAGGCTCTCTCTACAGCTTTATAGACTCTCTCTACAGTCGTATTGGCTCTCTCAGTCATATAGACTCTCTCTACAGCAAGATAGGCTCTCTCAGCCATATAGGCTCTCTTTGCAGCCATATTGGCTCTCTCTACAGCCATATATGGTCTTTATCAGCCATATAGACTCATTCTCAGCTATATAGTATTTTTTTAGCTATAAAGGCTTTTTCAGATTTATACAGTGTGTCCCAAAAAAAAACGATATTCAACTTTGAATGACTGTAACTCGAAAAGTAATAGAGTTAAAAAATTGAAAGGTCAGAATTTGTTCACTATGTTTTTCTCCATCTCTCCACCAAAAATCAGACAGATCGATGTAGCCATAAGCGTTTGATAGAACTTTCAGTGGCATGTGCTAAAATCGTGCTTGCACAAAGTTTTAGTAAGATCCTTTTGCATAATCATTACGTTGTCTTCACATGTTTCCTTTTCGCTGTTTAATTTTTTGTATCTTTGGTGAGACAAAAACATGGCAATCTTTGATGAAAGGCAATCATGACAATCTTTGGTGAGAGACAATCATGACAATCTTTGGTGAGACACAATCATGTCAATTTTTGGTGAGAGACAATCATGACAATCTTTGGTGACACAATCATGACAATTTTTGGTGAGAGACAATCATGACAATCTTTGGTGACACACAATCATGGCAATCTTTGGTGAGAGACAATCATGGCAATTTTTGGTGAGAGACAATCATGACAATTTTTGGTGAGAGACAATCATGACAATCTTTGGTGAGACAAAAACATGACAATTTTTGGTGGGAGACAATCATGACAATATTTGGAGAGACAGGATTAAGGATTAAGGATATTTAAGGCGCCAGGATTACGTCACAGGACTAAGCTGTAGGTTGGGTGCTTCTATATAAATTATTATTCGGTCCTGCGGAGCGAGGGTAACTTCGAGTTGCTGGTTAATAGGCCGATTTATTATTTCGCCGGTTAAGAGGCCGATTAGAGGAGCCGGCGAAAAGTAATAGGATCTAAAACTTACTTAATTTAAAGATCAATAATGTAAAAAATTAAATTTTTACATCGAAAGATACAATATTAGAAATAAATGATTGAACAAAGGCAATTTTTGACTGTTTTGTGAGCTTAAAAGCCGTTTTCTCTCGTCACCATCGAGCAGCCCTGGTGATAAGTGTAAAAAATCCTATGAGCATGTCTGAGTTGATTACGAAAGCTGTCATGTCGTTCGCAATCTCTAGGATATATTGCCTCAGGTCGATATAAATGGTCTTTTATAAGCTGCATTGTTTATATAGAAGGCAACGGCGCTCTGTCAACTGGACCGTCAAACGTCCTCAGTGCTACTCGTCCCTAGACCCTGGGAGCGCAATCTACCCTCAGCAGATCAAAGGTTGCGATGCGTGTATAGCAAACGCTGGAAATAATCAAAGTGAACAAGAGCAGGCTAAAGAAAAAATTTAAATAACATTTTACGATGAAGCCAGACATTCTAAATATCTTAACATATGAAATTTTCTTTTGCGGTAGTGAAAATTTAAGAAAGAAGTTACACTGCTACACATAAGCTGTTCCGCAAATGGCAAACTATTTCTAAAATGAAATCCCTTATTCTAATCGCTGGTATATTTCATAAAATATTGCGATTAGATTTCTAATAATACACCTAACTTATCACACATGTAAGCACAAGTGTCGCACACCCCCCCCCCCTGTCGCTGACGACACACTGGCGCTGGCGGTGACCTGATAGCGCTTATATAGGCCCAGGTGGCGGAGGCACGTGAGGATCCCACGTTCTGTTTCTTATCATTATCATCATTGTATATAATATTTATAGCAGCTGATCAGTAGAGTAGGGTAACTGATGAAGTTCTAATGATGACGAATATGACTTCTTACAAAGGCTGGTCGTAATGGCGCCCGCAGCTCGAGAACACGTGTCGCGGTCATGCCACTCCTCTGCCACCTGAGCCTTCTTTTCTCCCACGCCATCCATGCCCTTATAATTTGCCTGTTCTTGTATATTAGATATTTGGGATGTGCAATGATCTACATAATACAGTACACTGTCAGATATAAAGCATCATAGCTTATAGCATAATTTGAAACTGTGTTAGATATTTAGGATGGACAATGATGCCAAAGATTGCCTCTCACCAAAGATTGCCATGATTGTCTCCCCCCTCCCCCCCCCCATTACCCATCGCCTCACTAGTGCACAATTTCAGGTCCCGGCAATATCCCCACACGGTATCCTGCATACGCGCTGCACAGCCCAGGGATATTTAAGGCGCCAGGAATACGTCACACAGGACTAAGCTGTAGGTAGGGTACTTCTATATAAACTATTATTCGGTCCTTCTGACATATTGTAACTTCGAGCTGCAGTTTAATATACCGATTTATGGCTATTAGAGGAGACCGACGGAAAAGTAGAAAGATCTAAAACTTAATTTAATTTAAAGATCAAAAATGAAAAAAAAAATAAATTTTTGCGTCGAAGGTTACAATGTTAGAAATAAATGATTGAAAAGAGGTTATTTTGACTGTTTTGTTAGCTTAAAAGGTGTTCTCTCTCGTTGCCATCGAGCAGCCCTGGTGATAAGTAGGAGAGGCCCTATGAGGATGTCTGAGTTGATAACGAAAGCTGTCATGTCGTTTGCAATTTTTAGGATATATCTCATCAAGTCAATATAAATGGTCCTTTATAAGCTGCAGAGATATCGCATTTTCTCTTTTATGAAAAAAAGGTGCTATTGTGCTCGCCATGTCCGTCTGTCTGTCTGTCTGTCCGTGACTTCACGTTTTCATCGACGAGAAAATGCGCTTTCTGTCACTCACTGCAGTGAGTACTGAGTTATATTTTTTATATATTTATATTTTTAGTTTTATAACTATATTTAGTTATATTTTTATTTTATATTTATAAGGCAGCGGCGCTCTGTCAACTGGACCGTCAAACGTCCTCAGTGCTACTCGTCCCTAGCGCCTGGGAGCACGAGCTACCCTCAGCAGATCGAAGGTAGCGAGACATGTATAGCAAACCCTGGAAATAATCCAAGCGAATAAGAGCAGGATAAAGAATTTGACTAATTTTTAACGATGAAGCCAGATATTCTAAATATTTTGAAACATGAACTATTCTTTTGCCGTTGTTTCAAATTCAAGAAAGAAGTAACAGTGTTACACATAAGCTGTTCCGCAAAAGGCAAGCTATTTCTAAAATGTAATCTTGTATTTTAATCGCTGGTATATTTCATAATATATTGCGATTTGATTTATAATAATACACCTAACTTATCACAGATGCCAACACAAGTGTCGCACACACTCCCCCTGTCGCTGACGACACACTGGCGCTGGCGGTGACCTGATAGCGCTTATATAGGCCCAGGTGGCGGAGGCACGTGAGGATCCCACGTACTGTTTCTTATCATATCATCATTGTATATAATATTTATCGCAGCTGATCGGTAGAGTAGGGTAACTGATGAAGTTCTAATGATGACTAATATGACTTCTTACAAAGGCTGGTCGTAATGGCGCCCGCAGCTCGAGAACACGTGTCGCGGTCATGCCACTCCTCTGCCACCTGAGCCTTCTTTTCTCCCACGCCATCCATGCCCTTATAATTTGTCTGTTCTTGTATATTAGATATTTGGGATGTACAATGATCTACATGCAATTCACTGTCAGGTATAGATCATCACAGATTATTTCATTATTGAAACTATGTTAGATATTTTAGATGTACAATTATCTAGATAATACAGTACACTGTCAGGTATAAAGCATTATAGCTTATAGCATAATTTGAAACTGCGTTTGGTTGTTCTAAAGAATTCCAGAGCAAATTCGAAATAAGCGAGAGTATATCCTTACTAATTAGTGTGACTTTATAAATAAGATTCGCTCGAATAATTTTGATGTTTGTGTATGTAACCAAACCTTCCCCCTCACTCACACCCCTCATCTCAACCCAACCTTTCCCCTCACTCAAACCCCCTCATCTCAACCCAACCTTTCCCCTCACTCACACCCCCTCATCTCAACCCAACCTTTCCCCTCACTCACACCCCCTCATCTCAACCCAACCTTTCCCCTCACTCACACCCCCTCATCTCAACCCAACCTTTCCCCTCACTCACACCCCCTCATCTCAACCCAACCAATGTCTCCACCATAGAGTTATCATTCCTAACCGCTGCTGAATCGGTAGATCCTCGTGAAAAATTCATTGAAATTATTTCAAGCTTCTGTACTCGCTTAAGTAAAAAATGTCAATACTGCGTGAATTGAAAAGTCATGAAAATACAAGAAAATTTTTCATTTACTTCAGACGATTTACTTCACGTCCCCAAAACTTGCGTGCCCAAACCCCCTTCACAACCTATCATAACATAACAAAACCTAACCCAACCTTACATAACCTAACATAACTTATCATAACCTACAGTAACCTAACATAACCGAACTTAAAAAATCTATTCGATTTCTGTGATTCATTCCTTGAACTACTACAACACAAACTCTGATATAACTTTTAGTGATCTTCCGTATCCCTAACACCAATTCTCAAAGATATTTTCTGCTTTAAATCATTACAAAATAGCATCAGAATTATTTTGGCGAACCTGACCAATCAAGCTACGGTGTTTCACTGGAACTGATACAGTAAAAATTAACAACAGAAAATAATCAACAGAGTCGTCCACTCCAATCCTATGAATTACTAAAATATAACCTTAAGCAACCCTCAACTATCCAATGGTCTCATCACAAAATTATTCTCACTAGCACTTCTCTAGAAAGATTACCAATGTCAGTGTCACAGAGAACCTGTGTCTAGGTGGACCCTGTTTGTACGTAATCACTGTCTATAAATGGTCGCAGTCTGTACATGGTCGCTGTCTGTACATATGGCCGCTGTTTGTACATGGTCGCTGTTTGACCATGGTTGCTGTCTGTATCATATGGTCGCTGTTTGTACATGGTCGCTGTCTGTACATATGGTCGCTGTTTGTACATGGTCGCTGTCTGTACATATGGTCGCTGTTTGTACATGGTCGCTGTTTGTACATATGGTCGCTGTCTGTACATGGTCGCTGTCTGTACATGGTCGCTGTTTGTACATGGTCGCTGTCTGTACATGGTCGCTGTCTGTACATGGTCGCTGTCTGTACATGGTCGCTGTCTGTACATGGTCGCTGTCTGTACATGGTCGCTGTCTGTACATGGTCGCTGTCTGTACATGGTCGCTGTCTGTACATATGACCGCTGTTTGTACATGGTCGCTGTCTGTACATGGTCGCTGTCTGTACGTTGTCGCTGTCTGTACACGGTCGCTGTCTATACGTTGTCGCTGTCTGTATATGGTCGCTGTTTGTGCATGGTCGCTGTTTGTACATGGTCGCTGTCTGTACATATGATCGCTGTTTGACCATGGTTGCTGTATGAACATTGTCCTCATGTTTTTCGTGTACCTATACAGTGTCTACGGAGTCCTGTGCGAGTGGACTTCTTGTCTGTGTGGTACTTCTTTGCATGCGGTCCCAGTTTATATTAGGAACATTTTTAATGTGATCCTTTTGTCCCCACGGACCATGTGTGCACGAGCTCCTTGCTGTATTTATTCTCTGTGCTTACGTAGTTGTTGTTACTAAACGGTCTCTGTGCGTACGTAGGCATCATCTGGAAGTGTTCTCTGCGTGTACGAGCTTCTTATTTGCGGTCCCTACGTGATCCCTGCGTGTAAGTGGTCTCTGGATGTACGTGATCCTTGCGTGTAAGTGGTCTCTGGATGTACGTGATCCTTGCGTGTGTGTGGTCTCTGGATGTACGTGATCCTTGCCTGTAAGCGGTCTCTGGATGTACGTGAACGATGGGTGCACATGATCCCCTAAGGTACGTGGCATCTTCGTCTATGTGGACCTTGTTTATGCGCGGCCCTCGCGTATACGCGTGCTCTATGAACGTGTTAAAATAATAGAATGAAATAAAATAATACCGATACCACAACGTAAACACTGGCCAACGTATTTCCTACATAGACACAACACAAATCCGTCTGCGATTACAAATTTGTGAAATATTGTTAAACATCGCTCACAGTTTTCTTCATTAAAAGTACAGAATTCTAAGCAAAATTCGTTTATTTTCTAACGTAATATATCAACATAGATCTATCTTTTAAACTCATATCCTCCATAACTCTTTGATGTAAAACATTTTCTATATTTTTGCACCAAAGTTTCTATTGAAATCCAACAAACGATAATCAATCTTCACTCATTCTGCGTTTTCATTAATTGCACATAATTCTAATTATGCCTAATAAAAATGATTAGTAGAATAGCGAAAAATATTTCGGATAATTTCTTTCCGAAATAACGTTCTTCTAAAGGATAGTAAAACAACTACGATCTTCATAATAATTTTTTATCTTTATTAATGTATTTGCTCAAATATTTAATCGGATTTTATTAGTACACCTTAGAGTTTGCACTTAACAGAAGCTTCCAATAAATGTTAATTAAGCCAATACTTTATATAATTTCTCCTAAAACTTCGGATTACAGTGAAAAGGGCTGCGATTGAAAGATCAAAAAGAAAAGTTGAATTATACACTTGCATATAAATAATGAAACAGACCTGATGATTTTCGGACCATTCGTATTCACCACTTCTTGCCAGGTAATGTGCTTGCTTCTCTTAGCGATGTTGACATGGGGGGTATGCTTACTGTGCATCATTTCTAACTAACGCTAAAGAATTATACACAATTCATTTGATTCTCAAATACGCAATGATATCATTGCCCGGGCCGCACTCTGAAGTAAACTAGTAATGTATTTGATCGAATAAAAAACTATTCTACAATTTCAGTTAATTAACGAAAAATGATAAATAATACAGGAGAAACTAGAATGGTTGTGGATTGTTCTGACGAGGGAAAATTGAAATTGAACTTGTTTCATGCTTGACAAGTCATTATATCCTAAACTATTGCGCTACTTTCAGGTATTCCTATCTTATGCATTCAAATTTTGTCAGCATTTGACAATTTAAGACTACGACAGCCTCGAATTTCTTCAAAGATCAAGTCCTAAATAATAAATATGAGATCGTTCAAATTCCTCTGCATTAGCCACCTTGCCTCACAATAGCTTGTCAGCCATGCGCACGCTAAACTTCTCTATTGTGCCAAATAAATTGATAATTATTGATCTATTTTTATTTTGTTCATACAATGTTATGCTTCGTCGATAGTTATATATAGTTGAAGTTATTAA